GCGCTGATCACAAGTGAATGGTTTCTCTCCAGTATGAACTCTCATGTGTGCTGAAAGGTTTCCTTTTTGTGTGAAACTCTTCCCGCACTGATCACATGTGTACGGTTTCTTTCCAGTATGAATGTTCATGTGTATCATAAGGTTTGATGATTGTGTGAAACTCTTCCCGCACTGATCACAAGTGAATGATTTCTCTCCAGTATGAACTCTCATGTGCCTATTAAGGTTTCCTTTTATTGTAAAATTCTTCCCGCACTGATCACATGTGTGTTTTTCTCCAGTGTGGATCCTCTCATGCAGTTTTAAACACTTTGCTGTAGTAAAAGTCTTTTCACACTCAAAGCACATGTGCTCTCTCACAGCAGCATGTATTTTCTTGTGTAGTGTTAAATATTGTAAACATGAAAAACTCTTTCCACACAAATGACATGAATGTGGCTTCTCCTTTGTATGAACTCTAAAGTGTTTCTTCAGGACTGAAGCCCACAAAAATGTTTTGTTGCACTGATCACATGTGTACGGTTTCTCTCCAGTGTGGATGTTCATGTGCTCCTTAAGGGTTGATGATTGTGTGAAACTCTTTCCACACTGATCACAAGTGAACGGTTTCTCTCCAGTATGAACTCTCATGTGATGCTCAAGACTTGTTTTGCGTGTGAAACTCTTTCCACACTGAGTGCAGGTGAAAGATTTCTCGGCTGTTCTTTTCTTTAAATCTTTCTGTCTGGTTTGAGAGCAACTCAAAGGTCTTTCTCCAGTTTTAACATGATTTTTCTCCTCAACTTCACTCAGTTCTTCATTCTCCTCATTTTCTTCAATCGACTCTAAAATAAAAGTAAAAATGGTTAATTTTAAGTAACTTGTAAAAAAGCAGAGAAATGTGGACATAAATATTAACCCTGATATAACAGTGTAAAGTAGATAATTGTTATACACAATTTTGGTCATTTTGATGCATTTTTATAAATTATACATCCCTGAAATTTTTCCATGAATGAGGTACACTGATCTTCAAATTATTATTTTGAAAACATTATAGGCAAAATTCCATGTTTCTGTAAGAACTATTAAATATGTTTGATCCACTACAAAAATGATCAGACAATGTTATTGAAAAAAGTGCTCAGTTCATAGAAAGTGTCTCTTACACGGCTCCAGACTAACATTTGTTATGTGTGAAACTCTTTCCACACTGAGTGCAGCTGAAAGATTTCTTGGCTCTTCTTTTCTTTAAATCTTTCTGTTTGGTTTGAGAGCAACTCAAAGGTCTTTCTCCAGTTTTAACATGATTTTTCTCCTCAACTTCACTCAGTTCTTCATTCTCCTCGTTTTCTTCAATCAACTCTAAAATAAAAGTAAAAATGGTTAATTTTAAGTAACTTCTAAAAAAGCAGAGAAATGTGGACATAAATATTAATCCTGATATAACGGTGTAAATTAGATAATTTTTATACACAATTTTGGTAATTTTGATGCATTTTTATAAATTATACGTCCCTGAAATTTTTCCATGAATGAGGTACACTGATCTTCAAATTATTATTTTTAAAACATTATAGGCAAAATTCCATGTTTCTGTAAGAACTATTAAATATGTTTGATCCACTACAAAAATTATCAGACAATGTTATTGAAAAAAGTGCCCAGTTCATAGAAAGAGTCTCTTACAGGGCTCCAGACTAACATTTGTTAGCAGTGGCACCAGACCCAGTAAGTTCAACAGATGGTGGCACCAGAAGCAGGTTTGCTATCTCTGGGGGTATCGAAAATAAAGATAATTTAATCATAAAATTACTATTGTTTTGCATTAATTGCATTAACTTTTGTTGTTCCACTACAAAAATGATCAGACAATGTTATTGAAAAAAGTGCCCAGTTCATAGAAAGAGTCTCTTACAGGGCTCCAGACTAACATTTGTTAGCAGTGGCACCAGACCCAGTAAGTTCAACAGATGGTGGCACCAGAAGCAGGTTTGCTATCTCTGGGGGTATCGAAAATAAAGATAATTTAATCATAAAATTACTATTGTTTTGCATTAATTGCATTAACTATTGTTGTGCTACGTCCAAACTGATTGCACTGTATTTTATGTAGAATCATTTTCTATTCTTAACTGTTTTAATTCATTTTAAATCATTTTAAAAGTTTTTAAATTCCTTGTTTTATTGTTGTGATTATTTTACTTCCTTTTATGTAAAGAACTTTGAATTACCATTGTGTATGAAATGTGCTATATAAATAAACTTTAAAAGTGTAGTTATTATTATTAATATTACATATTTATTTCTAGTTAATACACGTTTGACAGTAAAGCACTAAGCTTGAGTTGGGAAGCATAAAAAAACACTTTTATTAACAACATTAACGTGCAAAATCTCATTTTTACATAGATAATTCATATATTCTACTCTTATTAAATGAACCATCAGTGGTGGATTTAGGCGAATGAATGAATGAACGAACGAACGAACGGAATGCACAATTGGGTTTTTACTGCTCATTTGTGCTCAATATCATGTCACCGTGTTCGTCAATTAATTTGTGATTAATGTGTGATTGGTTATAATGCGCAATGCTGTAAAAATGCTGTAAAAAATAAATATGAAGCAGCAAGAGCAGATCCAAATTTAATGGTGCAATTGACACTTTTCATTTCATTTTCACTTTAAAAGTATAGACGTGATACCAGCTAAATTTAATTATTGAACTAAATCACAGAAACGTAGTACTGTAGTCTGCTATTCCTCGCTTTGTGAAGTAACGTGAGGGAGGAAACTAGTTCCTTACTTTTATATAGCGCTTTTCTGAGCACTCAAAGTGCTTTACATAGAAGGGGGGAATCTCCTCATCCACCACCAATGTGCAGCATCCACCTGGATGATGCGACGGCAGCCATATTGTGCCAGAACACCCACCACACATTGTTGGTGGAGAGGAGACAGAGTGATGAAGCCAATCAGCAGATATGGGGATGGTTAGGAGGCCATGATGGTCAGAGGCCAATGGGCGAATTTGGCCAGGATGTCGGGGTTACACCCCTACTCTTTTTCGAAGGACATCCTGGGATTTTTAATGACCACAGAGAGTCAGGACCTCGGTTTAACGTCTCATCCGAAAGATGGTGCATTTTAACAGTATAGTGTCCCCGTCACTACACCGGGGTGTTAGGACCCACACAGACCACAGGGTGAGCACCCCCTGCTGGCCTCACTAACACCTCTTCCAGCAGCAACCTAGTTTTCCCAGGAGGTCTCCCATCCAGGTACTGACCAGGCTCAACCCTGCTTAACTTCAGTGGGCAACCAGTATTGGGCTGCAGGGTGATATGCACCTGCAGGGTGTAGTTGACGTTAGCTAGTTAATTAGCCATGTTATCTGCCTCGGTAGCAAGCCAAATAGTATTTATTTCAACACTGAAACAAAAGGCAGTTGGTCTCTGTCTTGATCGGGGGTGAAAGAGGGAGAAATAAAGATGACACAGATCAGAATCAGAATCAGCTTTATTGCCAGGTATGTTTACTCATACGAGGAATTTGTTTTCATGACAGAAGCTTCCACAGTGCAACAGAATGACAGTGACAGAACAAAAACACAGATAAGATAAAAACATAAAAATAAAAATAGAACAAGTAAATAAGGAATAACAATATTCAAATCGACAATTGTATGTACGGGTATATTACAATAGACAGTTTTGTATGTACAGGTATATTAGTGCAAATTTGAAATGTAGACTAAATATGTGTGTTAGATAAATAAGTGTATGAGTGTATAAATAGTGTTAGATTTGGTAGCTGAGCTGAACCAGACAGTCATAGAATTGCAGAGGACAGATTCAATGATGGCGGAGTAGAACTGTTTCAGCAGCTCCTGTGGCAGGTTGAACTTCCTCAGCTGGCGAAGGAAGTACAACCGCTGCTGGGCCTTTTTAATAATGGAGTCTATGTGAATGCCCCACTTCAGGTCCTGAGAGATAGTGGTGCCCAGGAACCTGAATGACTCCACTGCAGTCACAGTGCTGTTCATGATGCCTTAAAAAGTGTAGTTATTATTAATATTACATATTTATTTCTAGGTAATACACATTTGACAGTAACACACTAAGCTTGAGCTGGGAAGCATAAAAAAAATACTTTTATTAACAACATTAACATGCAAAATCAAATTTTTATATAGAAAATTAATATATTCTACTCATTAAATGAACCATCAGTTGCAGATTTAGGCATGTGAATGAATGAGTGAATGAATCAAAGAATGAATGACCGGAATGCACAATTGGGTTTTTACTGCTCATTTGTGCTCAATATCATGTCACCGTGTTCGTCAATTAATGTGTGATTATTGTGTGGTTGGGAGCTACAGCGGAGACTGGATAATATAGTGAATGTAGACGTTTGATATTATTTAATGTTTATTTTATTCTACTTAAGATCGCGTTGGAGTGGTTAAGGCTCACTTTACATAATTTGCCATAGCCCTTTGTACGGCCTGTGTGAAAAACGTGCTTTTTTCAGTGTTAGAAAGCTGAAAAGCAGAGGTATTTCCTGCAGACATTGATAAGGGCTATGGCATTAAATACCTCTGCTTTTGATTTACGCTATGTTGATAGAGTAAGCGTTAACCATTCTAACGCGATCTTAAGTTGAATCATATAAACAAAATAATATAAAATGTCTACATTCACTACGGAACTCAGGTGAAAGTTAAACTGAAACTCGGTATGGTAAACAACTCAAATAAGATGTGTCCTTAGATTTATTATATACAGTGATTTGCATTAGGAGTGTTTCTGTTACACGAAACGGAACTGTTGCAGCTTGCGCAAAACGAAAACAACGTTACACTAGCAGTGCACCAGCTTAAAATGACGTGCTTTTCAGAGGCACGGAGGCTAATACATGCATTACATTAACTGTGACAGAGGGACCAAACAGCGAGGCTTTATTTCCACCAGAGAAATGCCTGTCGATAGTGTGGGACCATTTTGGGTACACCAAGAATGACCAGGGTGTCATTTAAATATTGCTGTAAAAAAGGACTGCTAAAGAGGGAATACATAAGGGATAATGCACGGCTAGCTGTACATTGAACGATTTTACACCGGTGAATAGAGAACGCTGTGATTGGAGCTGTTTTTGTTGTGTGTTTTTTGGTTTCTTGATAACAGAGATGGAATGTAAACGAAATTTACACGATTGAAAGAGCATGAAAATCTGACTAAATCGCCTGTGACAACTTGCAATGTTACATATCATCGAGGCTGGGAAAAGAACACAACGCTGCAGACAACAGGTAGCTAAATGCCGTTATCGCTGTTTTCCATGTTCGTGGAGTAAATATTTTTACATGGCTTTTTAAAAATGCCGGGTGGCCAGTGTTTCGCGTGCGTTTGGTCAGTCAGCATACACTTGAGTCACTGATAGTTCCTATAGAACTGTTTTAGACCCTGCTCTGAAGTAGGAGCTAATTTATGGCGCTTTTCCACTGCATGGTACTTTCTCCAAACGGAGTTCCTAGAACTAAAACCGTTCCTAGTTCCTGCGTTGCGAACACGCCAAAAAGTGGGTAGTTCCACAATTAGTTCAGGTACTATGAAAAGGTTCCCGCGGTGCGAAAGGCCCAAGTGTTTGAATGTCAATGCATTTCTCTCTATTTATGTTTCATAGAAATGGGATTAGTAAATGTAATTAAATCAAGGCAAATTGAATCAAACAATATGTTTAAAAATCACAAAACAACAAATATTTTTCTCAGAATGAAGACAATGACAATTTCTGGCTGTCAAACTTGAGTGGATCATGTTCATAATGTGATGAACTCTGACTTAACATATTCATGTAATCAGTTACATGCATTTTATAATATTAAAGAGAATGTTTAAAATATGTCAAATTATATGTATATTACAGTAGATTTTGTTACAGTTAAGATCTGCTAGTTTCTCTACATTGTCAGATTGTTATATAAAATCAAAATGACAACACTTAGACCAAAGACCCCCCCAAAAAGAAGAATTTAGGCCATAAACGTTTGATGGGGCATTAAAATAAAGATCTGTCCCTCAAAACACTCTGTCCAGCGAATTAGAGTGATTGAGCAATAAACAGTGATATCAGATTCAGCACAATGCTCTTGCACCGAGGGTTAAGATATGTGGGCAAATAGAATAAAAGAATGAGGTGGAGAGTCTGTGAAAAGAGAAGAAAGAGGAAAGCACGGGGAATACAGAGATGAGAGAAAAGGCCTGTTGTGTGAGAAATGTTCAATCACATGACCACCTGCATATTTTCTCTTGTGCTGGCCTGGCAGACATCAAGAGACTACAACGGACAGTCAGGACTGTTGAGAGGATTTATTGGTGCCCCTCTGCCCAGCCTCCAAGATCTTTACATCGCCAGAGTGAGGAAAAGGGCTAAAAAAATCACCTTGGACCCCTCACACTCAGCCCACTCTCTCTTCGAACTGTTACCTTCTGGTCGGCGCTACAGAGCACTGACCACCAGAACAGCCAGACACAAGAACAGTTTTTCCCTGCAGGCTATATTCAGCCTGAACAATTAATCTTTCATAATTAGTGTTATATTACATCTAGGGATGTTCATTTTAACCGGTTAACCGTTAACCAACCGTTAAGAATTTTGACCGATTAATACAGTCAGTTAAATGGTTAACCTGCACCCCC